CGTTCCGCTAAAAAAGAAAAATGTTCGCTATGTAGTCGGTTCACGCTCCTTTTCATTTGGTTTATAACGTTTTGTTTCACGTATCCGCAATTAATTCCTTAAGAGGTGTTCAGGGTTTATTTTTTCGAATGAGTCAAGTGCTTAAGGGCGCACAGCCCATGTTACAAAATTTCAGTAGCATATTCAAACCAGTAAAAGCTTATCCAACTAGTCTTACATCTAAAAAAGACGAATAGTGAAATACAGCTATGATGTTTAGTACAAGTCGATTTGTACTTGATTCTGAATTATTTGTAAATGCAAAAACATCAGTGCTGTATTTCGACTCGTCTAGTGCAGTATCGGATCAAATGAACGAATCAGGGTAAGTTTGACTTTTTGGCGAGCTAATAAGATCGATTATCCAATGAATATAGAAACTTTAACCTATTAATTCGTTCAGATAACATTGATACGCATTGGGAACTATATCCCGAACATATGGACGTGTCTCTTAAATTTTGAAGAAAAGTCTTAAAACTAACTCGACCATGTTGGCTACGGTACTGAGTCTACTAAATAACGTTTGTAGCACATGGACAGTGTAAACAGAGCTCTCTTATCAAATTACATGTCTAACACTCACCGTAGAATGCTGGATCGGACGACGTTCGGGAATCGAACCCGACAACTGCTACTCGGAGTTGGGTTTTAAGGTAAATACTTGATGCATATCAAAATGTTGAGCAGTTATACTTTAGATGTATGTCATGTAATATCGTCGAAACTCAAAGTTCAAGATGGTGCATATAGCATAGCATAAATGCGAAAGTTTGTCTGTGTGTCTGTCACCTTCACGCTTATAACACTGGACCGATTTTGATAAAATTTTAAATAAGTATAGTTTCGAGTCTCGAGAAAAGGCATAGGATTAATTTAATCCCAGAAATCGTTTTTAAGGGGGGGTGAAAATTTGTATGGGAAATCAATCTAAGAAGGGGGTGCCTTCTTAATTATAATATTAGATCATCGAGTTAAAGAGTCAAGGCAATTTCACTAGATTTCAACTTTATTAAAAACTAATCAAGCAACGAACACTTGAAAATAGAACACTATTAAAATGACTATCAGAAACACATATTGACAACAAATTTTTGACATTCTTATAAGAACGTAAAGAAAACAGATAGTCAATACGTTTATGGCAGATATTTTGCTTTCTTTATTAAATAGGTTTCAACTACTAACTCCACTCCACTTGATATGAGAATGTAGAGGCACAGCAATTAGCCCACACCATCTAATGTTAGATGTTCAGTCGTGAAGAGAGTAGTGCAAGCAACGATATTAAATACCCTAGATACACCAACACGAACAAAATCGTACCCGAAACCTGTCCAAAAGGTACATTGAACGATCCACGGAGCTCCGTAAGATGATCGCGTAGTCAAAATCAATATAAGGCATTATTTAAATACTAGCAAACCAGTGAACCAAATGTTCACAAAAAAAAATGTATTTAAATAATTGAGAACTTCGGAGATTTTGTGTGGTTTCGTTTGAAATAGAAATTACGTGATTTCTTGAAAACCGGAAGTGCTACGTTACTCAAATCCGGTTTGTAGTCTTATCAGACTATTCTTAACTTATAACTTAAACATTCTCTTTATCTATCTCTTACGGTTTGGCCGCTGAAACAGCACCACGGACGGACGGACGGACTTGTCTATTAGATAAGAGATTTTATAGTTTATTTAAATTTAGTATTTAAGTAGTTAACCTTTAATAGATACTGTATAAGGTCTTAAATAAAACGCATGCGTCAAGGACTTCTGACAGTTCGAAATGCAAGCTCGTAAAATTTTACGACTTATTGCTATATGCGGAAGAATTTAGACCTTAGTTCTTTGACTCTACGCGCAATTCTGAACGCGGTGTTAGCAATATAGCAGGCACGGTCCGTGAGGAAAAGAGATGGCTATATGGCGACGCATAACCGACCACGCATTTGAACATCACAAATATTTTATATTAAATCAGTTTATAGTAAGTATCAGATCAAAATTTGCTTCAAATGCGTTCAATTAACAAACATTGACTGTCGAAAAAACGACACTTTTCGTACTCTTAGTATTATTTTCACATTTTTTCGCTTAGCTCTGTGGCATTGGTGACTTTGTAACAGTCCGCGCGTGACTGTGAACCAAGAAGTGCTTGAGTGGAGTTCAAGCACTTCTTGATTGGGACACATTTTGAGCGCTCGTGGTGTATCTAGGGTATTTAATATCGTTGAGTGCAAGACGAAAACTGTGCCAGTACAGCAATCCTCACCTAGCCAGCAAGCTTAAGGCTTTCCAATCCCCTAACCTACTCCGTAGAGACTACCAAGAAGGACACAAAAACTGTTTTTCAGAAAACCATATAAATGGCCAGTCGCGGATAACTTATAAAATGCAGATAGTCGAACTACCTACAGACTGTAAGGGAAGTTTCGTGGGCTCCTTAATGTGCTTGACAAACTATTGTTTCTGATCTTAGGCAATGGCCGATAGCTGTGTTTTCGGTCTTACCCAGTCAACTCCACCACTCAACTATTATAGTGATTTAAAGACTTTCATTTGCGCCAACTCCTCATCTCATCTTCTAAGTAACTTACTTAACTAAGCATAAACAGAAGCTTTGATTTTATTATACTGGGACTTTTTTGTATGATTCATTTTCTGTCTCATGTTTTCGCTTTTTAGAAACTATCTTCTAATAAAACACCTATAAAATATTAGATAAAGAAGAAGAAAGTGGCAGGCAATTAAAGGCGAGAATCGTTTGAAGTCCATGCCAAAAGTATTAGGAAAATGTATGAATTAATCACCATCAAGAGTAGGAGATTCACATCCAAAATGGATAGACTGCCAATTTCTTCAATAGAAGGTGCTGAATCATTTCTTAAACAAAATAGTTGACAACGTATATTTTTCGTCTCTTGCGCCTGTTCCTGTATTAAAATCCCAATGTCCATCGCTTTGTTATAATCATCCAATTAAAATGGCAAAAAGGACGTGAAATTATAATGAAAAAAAAACAATATTAATAATCGTTTTTAAGCGTGACAAAGGGCTCGACTTAAATTTATTTTAAAAAAAGTAGCTCTGCATACTTTTAACAACAATGACATCCAAATTTCATTAGGATCGAATGGATACTTGGAGAAATATAATAAAACAACCTCGGACTTTACTACAATATATAAAGATTATGACCACTCCCGGACAGAACAAAATATTTTATAATTCTCTGAAGATTTGGCTTATTGCCTATAAACAAAAACAAAATAACAGATTTTGCCTTGTCTATACAATAATATATGACAACTAAAACTATGGACGTAAGACTTGGCAGTATGGCTTAGTACCTTCGGCTGTCTCAATGGACGAAATTAAACTACTACTACCTAGGATCGAATGTTGTGGACAAGCCTTTGCCTATTGTCAAAGTATTTAAACTGACTTCAGAAAGACGGAGGATGAGAATCTCCTCGTCAGTATATTTTTGTTTCTAAACAAGCGCTTAGTGATTTAAATATCTAAAGCAAGGCCTGATTTAGAGGTGTGAAAGCCCTTAGGCAAGAAAGGAATGGAGGCCCATCGTCCTACTCCTAAATAGTTCATATGACATAGAGTAGGACACACGATGAAGTTGATGTTGAATTCCCCCTCAGGATTAAGATCTGTGGTTTCTGTATACTATCTTTCCCGACCCAAAAACCGAAATGATCCCCATAATAATAAATACCGCTTTAAGAATGTCATTACGTTATTAAAAGTATTTATCTAGTACTGAGACATGTCCATATGTTTATAAATTCAATTATATAGTTATAAATACAAAAACAGTGCATTTGTAAGATATTCAGTTGGCGTAGTCGTTGAATTGAGAAAATGTATTTAATAAATTATTAAATTACACGACTATTGAAGGAATCACTTTTAATCATTAAAGTCGCGTAATATTAATGTTGGAGACAATACTTTGTAATTCTCAGCTTTTAATAACTTCTTTTTCATCTTAAAAAGAAAATAATCTATTTGATGTGCCAACTAAATATCTAACAAAGATAAATCAGTGAGGGTAGATACCGTGATTGACATTTAATTTATTCCTTCCATCTTACCATACTGTGTTTGAAAAATATTCTTTTATTCAATAATTCTAATAAAATAGAAGTAAAAATGAAAAATAGTTTCCATTTACAGCATGGGTTGGTATTGCGCCTCGATGTTAATATCCTTAGATATTATTGGAATAAAACAGGGAGAAAAAAACGGCCCTTTCTTAGTTTCTTGCCGGTTCTTCTCAGTATAAGATCTCCCGCCATGGATTTGCGAACTAACAGCGTAGCTTTCAAATTTCCCATGTGCTTGTAAAAGCCTAAACTGCATAAATGAATTTTGAACTTATTTGAACACTGCTTAATTCCATTTGCAATATCATAAAATTCATTTAAACTTCATTTATTTACTATTACCGATCGTTGGGTTTATTTTCTACATTTATTTACTATTCACGATCGTTGGATTTATTTTCTACATTTATTTACTATTCACTATAGTTGGATTTATTTTCTACATTTATTTACTATTCCTGATCGTTGGATTTATTTTATACATTTATTCACTATTCCAGATCGTTGGATTAATTCTGTACATTTATTTACTATTCCCCATCGTTGGATTTTTCGACAAATGCTATCCAAATAAAAGCCGTTTTTTTTAATAACTGTAGATACATATATTATTTAAAAAGAATGTCCGGTGTATGCTTTTGATGCATATTAACTGTTTAACTTGCTAATCACTTTTGAATTACGAGAACCAAGTCAGTATAAGTTGTAAAGATTTATAAATTTTATTTTTTTAAGCATTTAACTGCTAAAATAATGGTCCGCGTGGAATTTCTTGTAAAGCTTTGTCAACCACAGCAACTCGCCATCACCGATTCAACAGAAATCACAAATCGAATCTTACCTTTTTTCTTCTTCTCAATTTTCACAGTTTTGGAGCTACTGCTGGTCGGTTTTGCTTCCTTTTTGGTTGTTTTGCTCTTTTTAGCTGGAGCGGATTTAGTTTTAGTTGAGGATTTCCTCTTGAGCGCTGCCTTCGCATTGTCCAGTAGATCTAGAATGTCCACGGACTCTTTCTTGGGCACTTTGCTCGCCAACTTCGTTAGCGGTTGGTCATCAACTGTGGAAAAATAATTATCATTTAAACATGGTCACGATCATATAATATAATCTATACTTATAATAAATCTGTAGAGAGGTCAATTCTGTACATGAAATATATTTTCAAAATAACTATTAGTGATCGATACTGATGCCAAAAATGTAATCAGTAAAAATTTTGTCTGTCTGTCTGTGTGTATGTTCCTTATAGAAACAAAAACTACTCGACGGATTTTAACGAAACTTGGTACAATTATTCTTCATACTCCTGGGCAGGTTATAGTATACTTTTCATCACGCTACAATCAATAGGAGCAGAGTAGTGAAGGGAAATGTTGGGAAAACGGGAGAAGTTACTCCATTTTTTCAGCTTCCGTCGGTGTGCAGCCTTAATGGTTAGAGTTACATAGAAATTATGTATGACGGGAATATTCTACATAAAATTGTCTAAAAAATATCCCGCAACAGCATATGTCTATCTTTTATGGTTGACTCACAATAACACGTATAATTCCTGATAGCTAGCAGTTCGGAGCATTCCGATTATATAACGTAAATATGAGAATTTTAGTTTGATTATAAATACAGGTAATAAAAATGACCGTTTTTATCTATATATGTATATAAAAGTCAAAGGGGACTGACTGACATAGTGATCTATCAACGCACAGCCCAAACCACTGGACGGATCGGGCTGAAATTTGGTAGATGTTATGACGTAGGCATCCGCTAAGAAAGGATTTTGATCAATTCTACCCCCAAGGAGATAAAATAGGGAATGAAAGTTTGTATGAAACTTTGTCAATTTTAAACCAATCGGGCTGAGACTTTGCATGCAGGTATAAGAAGAATTATAGATGAATGTCATTGTGTTAAATACAAGCCTGAGAAAAAAAACTATAGTGTACACTTCAGCTCTACACCGAAGCGAAGCGAGGGCGGGCCGCTAGTATACATAATCTGTAATACCTACACTTAACCACAGAATAACATAACACAGCTAATGATACTGGGTTACATATATATATATTTATTTATTTTTTAGAAACTGTTCATTTTTGCACTTAGCACTATTTATCTAATTATAAATCTATTCGTATTCTTTATTAAATTTATTATATTGTTATTTGTATACCGAAACACCGTGCACCATACAGGCCCTGTCAGAATACCAGCGTTGTCGTGACACGTTTAGTTACATGTCACGGCAGCATTATGCTGAGGCAGGCTCCTTCTTCACCAATATGATGGCTGTTAGGTTTATATACCTATGTGTGTAATGCTTACTTTTTATATATGTTTTTTATTTTAGCAGTTCATAATTATATGTTTGTGTTTTATTGATCAATAAAATGGTTCTCTCTCTCTCTCTCTTTCTCTCTACAGATCAAACAAATAAAGGTATTTGATCAAATCATAATCCATTAACTCGTATTTTAATAATTGTGGTAATAAAATTAATAGCAACTAAATTTCTCCACAGCTAAAATTAAAATATCCTTAATTGGTGGTAGGGAAAAAATATGGGCGATAAAAAGGATTTTTCCATAACTCACCCCTAAAGGGGTAAAACGAAGGTTTGTATGTAGCACCAAGACCGCTAGGGATCATTTAACCAGATGAGCAAATACCTGTTTCAGGGTAAATTAATTTACTTAATCTTTATTATAATCTGAAGTGAACAAAACCGCGGGTAAATTCTAGCTTCTGATTATTTGACAAATAGAGATACACTAGATTTCCCGCTCGAATTGGAGCGGCCAGTCTGGGGAAGTAAACTCCAACTTACAGAAGATCGTAGTGGAATAACACTACCTTTTGGTGGTGTTATGTTTCTGTCGGCGAGTAAGGTTCCAGAGCTCTTCGGGGTAGGGGATTGGGCCAGGGTAGCGGCGCGTGTAATATATTTGGTATCGCTATCGTCTAAAGACTATGGTAGCCACTTAAAATCAGGCCTTATGCTTGTTGGCCACCCTTTTGACATAAAAAAAAATCTTTACTGACTGATAAATGATGGCCATGATAACTTGTTGTCAATTCGGAGACCTAGATATTTTTTTATTTTGTTTTTCTGCTATGGGTTGATTATTAATGTAGTAAAATTTGAAAATGTTTTATTTAAAAATACAGTAGCAAGTCTTATAAATATTAATTGTAAGCAGATTCAATTCGTACGAATCAAAGATGAAATTCAAATCAACTTGTGCTTTCCTGATCATATCATTAATTCCCCATGATAGAAAAGACATGTATCATCCGCCTATAAAGTTTGTCCATGGAGTTTGGTCTCAGTTAAGTTATTATACATCAGGAAGAGTAAAGGACCACGATTGGACCCCTGCTGTACTCCGCAGGAAGTCGATCTCGGTCCACTCATATGTTCACCTATTTTAGTGATTTGCTGCCTATTGCTTAAGAACGACTTAAACATATTTAAGGTAGTACCAACGACACCAATGATTTCAAGTTTTTTTATCAGCAGGTCATGGGTTGACTGTGTCGAATGCTTTCTTTATATCAATAAAGATTCCTTGCATGATGATATTTTTTGTCAATATATTATTTTATATTAATATAAGATCTATTGTAGCCCCGCTTGAGTATTTAAACCCTTCCTGACACCATATTGATGTTCGGATAGATAGCGCAAATTAAAGCTGCCTTCAATTATATTATCTTTTATAGCTTCAACAATTCTCAGTGCTTGGACACAGGTCTTACCTATGCATGAATGAATGAATAGGGAGACGATTCCCTATGAATATGGAGATAGTGCCATTACCTACCACCTTTGATTATAAACACACCTAGATAGAGCAATCCAAATAATCCAGGCAAAGAAAACAGCTCATTTTACGCGCAAAGAGTGTGTGATTCAGATGAAATTTGGTATATTGAGGAGGATAGTTTTAATCCCAGAAATGATACTTTAATGGGGTGAAACGGTATAAGTTTGTAAGGGACAAATAACAATAAGCAAATACGGTCATCAAATTAATTAGCCGTAGACTACGCAATACTTTCGTGGCATGTTTAAAAACTCCGCGGACAGCTCACGCAATACGTTAGACACACGAGACTGACAGCACCGCGATGTCTTCTTAGGGGCCGTGTTGAGACGTGCGTCTGTAGGCATGTGTACCGAAAGTCTCTAAGTAGCATTCCTTACTGTCACGATTTATTGTCTGTGACTCACCTGTGAGTCCTTTACACACCTACACGTCACGTGAAACGGTGCAGGCAACGTTGCAAAAACGATCGTAAATTTGCAACGTTACTGGCTGACGACGCCATGACGTGGAAATGTGGACAAGCACATATGTAGTACCTAGATATTTTGGGCCGCTTGCGTGCAGTTAATACGGTATATAAGCGTGTAAATAATCAAAGCTCAAAATCATGCTCAATTTTTTTTTTGTTCATAGCCAGGTAGGCAAAGGACTCTATGTTGTCCGATGTTAAGTGGTATTAAAGTCCAAACGCGAAGATAGCTGATACAGCAGTTATAAAATGCGGATTGTTGTGTGCTAACAACTGCAGATGCCAACTGCGGACCACCGGTTCAATGTGCCTTTAGAAGCGGAGCCCCTGACGAGCTTGAGTTGATAAATTTTTGGCCACCCATCCGATTCCCGGCCGTTACGAAGGTTACTTACTTTTCACGATGCCAGATCGAATGCGCTAAACATTTGCGCCATCGAGCTACTCGACAGCATGTTTTAGCCTACTAATATTGTAGATGCGAGAGTTTCAGTTTCTCAATCATGCAAAAATGACTAAACCGATTTAGATAAAACTCGGCACACATATAGTGTGGTGTTTTATATACGGTTATCAAATTATACGTATCTTTATTAATTTGTAATTGGTTAAATAAAATAGCTATTTGGGTGGCAAAAGCAACTAATGGTCTGCAAATATTTCTAAATCAGTCTGTAATTTATATCATTCAGAACAGCATTTTTTTTTCACAGCTGAATATATATAAAGCCTGTTTGGTAAGTACACAGAGAAAAATTCGCAGAAGATTTTTTTTTTTTCAGTCCGCTAATATAGGTCTAGCAAAATTTATTGTACTGCACAAAACGGGCGCATCCCTAAGATTTATATATGTATTATCTCTCATTCTGGATATTATAAGTACCTAATATTAGGATAGCGTGACATAATAATAAACAATTTGATTTATATTTTCATAATTATAATAAAGATCATAAAGAATATAAGAAATACATAGTAACAATATATTTTTATAGTAGATACCTACTTAAACAATCAATACTATGAGACATAAGAACTAAGGCTAAAGCCATGGAGGTTAGAGATAAGGCGAACGATAACTGTAGAAAATAGTGTCCCAGAAATATGGACAAAATAAGTTCTCAGCGCTGGTCCTTACTGGTAACAGTTACAAAAAGGGCTGTTCATTAATTTCAAAGGGCGGTGCCAGCGCGACCAGCGCGTTTCGAAGATTGTCGGAACTTGTCGGCGACGTTCGGCGCTTATCGGCGCTGGTCCATAGAAATGCCTGCGCCGGTTACCTACGCGAACCGGTTTATATAAGCGCTGGTAGGCTACCAGCTTTCTTTCTGTATACGGCCTAAAAATGTACGCGGGTCGTCGCGCGGCCATCTGAACTTAGCCTAATTATTACTTTAATTCTTATTGTATTATCAATGCTCGTCTTGCCTTTGGGGGCCGGCCACGTTTCCTTTTTTCCCCTACTATGGGATTTATTGCTTCGAGCGGAGCCACCACATACTTTAAGCGGATTGCCAGACCAATCACGTGCTTACAAATGTAGAACTTGAAAAAATCTGGACAGTCGCATTTACCCTGTCTCCATTCATCTTTTTCAACAGGCATAAAGACAAGCAACTTACTGAAATTTTGTTTCTTGAAATCGTCAAAATTTTCCCATGGCGCATCGAAATCTTCACAATTAACCGCTTCACCAGATGGAATTTGATAATAATTGTACTTTTCATCTTTACGTAGCAAAATCAAATTATTTGGTGT